CCCATCTCGTTACTCTCCGTGCCATCGCGCGCGCAGCGTGGAGACAGGACCTGACGGCCGCCGCCGCTATTCAAGCTGCCACCGAGCTCGGTGCTCGCTTCCTCCGTGTCTCGGTCTCCTTTTTTCCTTTCTCGAGCCGGAAGCCAGGGCGTGGCAGGCGTGGCAGTTTCTCGACGCCACAGGGGGCGCGCTGGGGGTGGGGCCCTGTGTGTTGCAGGCCCCCAGGGCGTGGCAGGCGCGGCGTTTCCTCGACGCCACAGGGGGTGCGCTGAGGGTGGGGCCCCCTATGCGTTGTAGGCTCCCAGGGCTTGGCAGGCGCGGCATTTCCTCGACGCCGCAGGGGGCGCGCTGGGGGTGGGGGCCCCATGCGTTGTCGGCCCCCAGGGCGCGGCAGGCGCGGCATTCCTTCGACGCCGCAGGGGGTGCGCTGGGGGTGGGAGCTCGCATCTTGTCAAGAACTGGAAACACCTTGGCTCAAGCCGGCTCGGCGCGCCTGCGCTCTCACGCAGGCGCGCCCCTGTAGTCCTACTTCAGAGCGCCGCCCGACCTGCGCGGCAGCCATGCCTCCCAAAATCGCCGTGGACACGCTGCCACCCCCATGTTTGGCGATGAAAACTGCAATGGTTCAGATGGGCGGCACAGCACAGCACAGCAGGAGGAGGGCGCCGAGGAGGAGAAGGAGGAGCAGCAGCAGAAGCACCGATGGTACACATGGGAAATAATGTATGTATGTCGGGGTTCCTCGGTAGCGTGATTCTCTTCTCGAGCCGGAAGCCTGTCGGACGCTGCCTCGCGGATGAGTGCAGCGTCGCTCGCCCGTCGCCAATCTCGAGCGGGCGCCCTGGCCCGTCGCGCGCAGGCCAACGGGCGACGTCAGTCGGCCGCCGCGGCCCGCCACCAGCAGCGAGCCCCCCAGAAACGCGCTGCGCTCTGGAGACCGCGCGGCAGTCCTCTAGTTCTCCAGGGGATCCGACCTGAGGCCGCCGCCGGGGGGTCAGAACCCGTCCTCCACTGCGCGCCCCGACAGTGCCTTGGCGGGGGCGCGGGCTGGAGGGGTCCCACGGATGGATCTGAGCTCGTCAGTCTTGCCGCTCCGTCTCGCGCCGGCCTCGAGCGAGCGCTTCACCGTGCCCGTCATTCCGCGGCTGGCCCAGGCGGTTTCACTTGCCCCGCCTGGGCCGCTCTACCACTTCAGTTCGAGGTCTTGCACGATTTAGCCCTTGCCATGTTCGGGGGGCGCCCGGCCCCTCTTAATCCCAATGTCGGCATTCAGGCCCCCCCCGAAAGGTTCCGCGCCAGCTGGCGCGTTCGACTGCGTTCGCCAGCCAGGCAAAGTCAGAGCGCACTCGCTTCGCAACGCTGACTCTAAAATCGCTGCCAGTGCGTCTAATTTCCTGCTCCGCAGTAGGGCGCCAAAGATCGCGCGCCCCAGCCGGCGCGGCTTTGTCGCGGGCGGGAGTTTCGTTCGCAACGTTGTCCGCGTGGGCGCATGCGCCCGCGCCCTTCGAATTCCACCACGGGGTGAAAACAGCGTGCCATGCTTCGTTTTGCTCGACGCAGCAGCGGCGTTCTCGTCTGCGGCGCGCTGCCGGCCATTAGAGATACTTCGTCGCCAAGGCATGCCGCAGTGATGCCTCAACCTCCTCCATTCGCTCTGCTTCGCTCCTGGAGGTTGTGGCAGTCTCGGCGGACAGCTTCACTTCGTTTTTCCGAATTACATATGTAGTGGAGTGCCCCGGGGTTTTTCCCTGTCGGACACTGCGCGGGCGTCGACGTTCGCCCGTGTTCGGATTTTTTCCGGACGTGGTACGACTGGAGAACTCGGAGGTTGCGCCGACTATATTGGCATCTTGCTTCCCCAGCTCAGCACGCTTGCAGCCCCAGCCCCGCGCGTTGCAGATATCGAGCGGCAAGCGCGCGTCAGGCTTCAGGCTTCCAAATGTTGCATCGTCCCTCTCTGGTCCGAATGCTCAGACACTGCGGTGCACGACGTCCGCTCGTGGCTGGAGACACCTGCGCCAGCCTTTACAGGTTTTACATGCTGCCTGCCAATGCGCACCTTTGGGTGCAGTTCGGTCCTGGGGGTGGTATATCTGATCAATGGCAGGCTGCGCCTCGAAAGTGGTCGCAGCGTGCGATCGAGCTCCCATCATCTCGCGCTGCCGCCCTCTGCGAATGCACCAGTGCCAAATGTGCGCGGTCAGTGCGCTCGGCGACCTGCGCCAATCCTTTCGGGTTTCGCCGCTCGCCTTGTCCAGCGAGGCTCTCGCGATCCACTGGCTGTTGCGCCTCCCGCCTGACACTTTCTCTCGCGCTGACCTTCCCCCCCTCTTGTGGATTGGCCTTGCCTCCCGTTCGCTCGTGATCCTGGCCATGTCACATGCCTGGCGGGCCGCCGCCACCACTGTCCCAGATTGGCGCTCGGCCTACGACATGCTCGAGTGCGCGGCCGACCAGGCCTGCGGCTCCCCCCGCACTCACCGCCCTTCGCTGGGCGGCAGGAGAACGGTGCGCCCCGTGTTGGAAGCACCCTGGAGCCATCGCCCAGCTTTCTCATGAGCTGACGTTCGACTCTCCTCGCGTTCTCCTTCCCCGTCGTTATCATTATTGCTGCTTCCCTTCCTTTCCTGGTTTTTCGCGCGCGCGAAAGGAAGCTCGAGCGGCGGGTAAACTGGAGACTAGGACGGCTCCGGTGCAGCACAGGAAACCGAAGATCCAACGTGTGTTCGGTCAGTCTCTCGTCGTGTCGTTGTACCCAGACAGGCTCCACTGCGCAATGGGCCGCCGTCTCATTGCCCGAGGTTCCCCCTGCCCGCCCGACCTCCCCGCCCGCTGGGCCCTCGCTCGTGAGTGCCCAGGCCAGGTGCGTCAGGCATGGAGATGGGCGTGCATCGAGAGCCTTTTTGCGGGGGCTGGACCACTAGTGCACGCATGCACGTTTCGCGGCACTCTCGTGATGGTATATTCGGGCGCGGTGGATCGGACTCGGTGTCTGACTACTTCCTCTGCCCCCGGCTTCGACACCACGTCGCCATGCGTTGGGTGCGGCTCGTCTCTCCGTCGGATCATCTCCTCTGGCTCGGCCTCGTGAGCCCCTCGGCTGACGGGACGGAACATTGTCAGATCTCGAGGTTCCAGGCTGTAGAGGCCACGGTCTTGGCTTTTCACATATATCGTACAAGCAAAGATCAGATCCCCACCCACTGTTATCACACATACGCATCAGCCACGCGGGCTCCCGCTGCTGCTATGCTTGCCATGCAGGTCTAGTTGACGTGGGATTCGCCCTCTGGGTACGTTAGCTCCTCCTCCTCCTCGGGGCCCAGGATCGGCCCCAGCTTTCCCCCCCCAGGTTGGCCGTCCCCCCCCCGCCCATGAGCCAGGGGGGCGTCCCAGGCCGGCCGAGGGTGTCGGGAGAGGCGTTCGGACCTACATACATCCCCTCACGCAGGGGCCTGGAGTGTTCAAGTGCACATGGGACCAGCCTCCGACGCGCCTTTACCTTTTTGTTGCCTCCTCCTCGGCTTCGAGCTCGGAGTCCTCATCAGCAGGCGCGCCCCCCGCGCAGGTGGGACGTGGTCCCTTGCTATATCCTCCTCCTCCTCCTCCTCCTCCTCGTTCTCCTCCTCCTCCTCCTCCTCCTCCTCTTCCTCCTCCTCCTCCTCATCATCATCATTATTATTATCCTGTTCCTGCTCGTCCTCCTCCTCCTCTTCCTCCTCGTCGTCGTCATGATCATTATCCTTCTCATCCTGCTCCTGGTCGTCGTCTCCGGAAATTGCATGTAGTGCAGATTTCTCCGGCGCATCAGCAGAGGCAACCACGCAAGGTGCGGAGGCTGGCTCCGCGGCAATGCGTGTAGCACCACCTATGCTGGCTGCAGGACCTGATCAGGCTCTGGGAGGCATTGGTAGTAGGAGCACGCTCGGGCCGTGTCCGCGCGGCACGTCTTGCGCGGCGAAGAGGATTCGCGAATATAGTGCAACTGACCGATCGCCGAGGAGAAGGTGCTGGCGGCTGCGCAGGGGGTGGTCGGCCCGCGGTGCCTGGGCACGAGCGCGCTTGTCGCGATGCCGCCGAACGCAAGTTTGGCGAATGTTCGTGTAGGGGGGGAAGGGGGTCGGCCCACGGTGCCTGGGCACGTCCGCGCCTGTCGCGATGCCACCGAGCGCAAGTTTGGCGAAAGTTCCCCATGCCGCCCAACGGGCTGGCGCAACGTCCGAGTCTCAAGGGGGCGGTGCAAACGCCCACACGTTCGGGGCAGTGGGGGCCGGCCTCGCGCGCCCCTAGGGACCTGTAGGAAGAGCGCGGCCGTCCAGGAGCACTCCACAAGAAGGCTGCCGCGCTGGGCGCGTAGACCGGCCTCGATACCAGGGCGCGTCAGTAGCTGCGCGGTCGGCAAGAAATACGTTGTCGACGTGGACGGGAAGGACCACGCTTCGACGACACCGAAGCTCCATACAAGACAAGGTATATTCATCCGATCTTGTGACCCATGAGCTGCAAGGTGCGCTCGCGGAGTGCGTGTTCATGTACGTGCTTCGGCGCGTAAAGGTTTCCGCGGCTTCCCAGTCGAGAGGAAGCCGTGCATCTCATTCAGAGGATGGGGCCGAGCACGGCCCGTCAATGTCGGCAAGGTTGCTGCGATCAACGCGGCCGCAGCCATGGGCGAACGCGGCCACAGGTGCGTCGCCAAGTCCTGCGGGGAGGGCCTCGCGCTGGGCAAGGAGACCAGTGTCGAAGCACAGGGCGGCCGCACCCCTGAGCGATCCCCTCGTTCACCGCTCCCGCGCACTCTGTCCCGCAGCCGAGCACCACCACCACCCAGGACGTGCCCGGGTTTTCCCGGCGGGGTGAGGTACCACTTCCCCTTGTGCCCGGCGGTCGGGCTCGCCTGTTGATCTCGCCCCTCGTCGGCCCCGTCAGGCACGCCCTTACGAAGCCTCGTCGCCACCAGAAGCCCGCCCTCCCTCCCTCCTCCCTTGCAGCGCTGCGGCCCCAGGACCAACCCTCGCGCTTCGTCGACGGTTGCGTCGGGGACCCGCCCTCACGCGGCGGACGTCCGAAAGGTTATGCCATGCTGTGCAGACGTGTCTTCTCTGTTCCTCCCTCACCCCTCCGCCCGAGGGCAGAGTCCGATCCTGGTTCCTCGCAGAGCCTGGCACCCGCGTCCTGCTTCGCCACGCGGCGAGCCAGGACCAGGCAGAGTCCACATGCGTCGAGCTCTGCGGGCTCTCGGTTGGACCCTCCCCCCCCCCCCAGCGTCCCCGGCTGTGGTCGCCAATACGTGCCCTGGGAGCCTGTTGATGCCCTCGAGGGGCCCTCGAGGGGCCCTCGGGTTCCCGCTGGGGCTTTCTGGGGCCTCTGTGGGGGTGTGTGGCGGGTCGTCCTTCGGGAGCTGGCTTGGGAATCCGTCTTTCGTGGACAGCCGACATGTGGGATCATGCTGGGTTGATCACTGTGGGGTCGCTGCGTGGCTGTTTGCCTCCCTCCTCCTCGCTCTTTCCTCGCTCGCTCGCTCCTCCGTGGTTGTGGTCGTCGCCGTCGTCTTCTCTGTCATCGTCGTCGTCGTTTCCTCGTCGCCGCTGTTGCCGCCGCCAGGCTGCCGCTGCCGCCCGCGGTCGGGCTCTGACCCTGCTTGCTCGCACATTCTGGCACCTGCGCCGTGCTTCGCCACGCGGCGAGCCAGGACAGGGCAGAACCCCCCTTGCGTCGAGCTCTGCGGGCTCCCGCTCGGAAACCTCCCGCTCTCGCGTCCTCGGCTGTGATTGCCGATGCGTGCCCTGGGAAGCTATCGAACCGGTGCGGCCCTCCCTTTGGCCCTTTCGCTCAGGGTTCCTGGGGGTGCGGGTTCTTCTGTGGGGTGGGTGGTGGCGGAGGCGGTCTGGAACCCAGGGAGCTGGCGTGGGTCCGCGCGTCTCGGCAGCCGACCTGTGGGCTCATGATGGGGTGATCTCTTGGAGGCCGCTGCCTGGTTGTTCCGTCGTGGGGGCCCGCTGTCGCCTCCCGCCCTGTAGCCATACTACAGAGATCGTGCCCGCGGGCTCACACTCGATTCGCAAGAGCACAATCAACCGATCGTTCCCCCGCCTCCTCCATGCTCCCCCCCGCCTCCCTCCATCTCCATCAACCCGCTCTCCCCCGACATTCGCCGGTCTGATGTTGGTCAGTCCGCGGCGCCAGGACTCCCGACCCGCCTCGTCGCGGATCTGTGTTTGATGGCCCCGCGGCCCGCAGACGGCCCCCGGCCCAGACACCCTGGGGCCGGTCTTGCGTCCCGCGGGTCAGTTTCTGACGGCCCCGGGGCCCGGCGAGGCGAAGGCCCCCAGAGGCCGAACATGTGGACAGACCTCCGCCTCGAGATCCTCGAGGCGTTGGAGGCCTGGGGAGGGCCACCCGAATCCACGAGAAAACGCCCAGATCTCACGCGCCAGTCGTTGACAGCAGGTGCATTCCTGGAGATCCAGATCCCAATCCCCTCTGCAGGCGTCTGCCTACTGCAAGAGTCTGGCGGCAGTTCCCTCTTCCCTCCCCTTCGGGGGGCGGGCGCCCAGTCTGCTTCCAGCTTCGTCACGTCGGCGCCGTGCCCTCCTTCGACTCTGCGCCGTCCTCGCTCTCCTCCCGCGGACCCGCTGGGTGGGGCGGGAACTGAGGCGTTTCCTCGTCCTCCTCCTCCTCCTCCTCCTCCTCCTCCTCCTCCTCCTCCTCCTCCTCCCGCATTCCTGCTGCGTGCTTCCACGTGTACCTCTGCCGACCGACGGGTAGCTTCCAACTTTGTTCGCCGGCGGCGAGGCAGGGACAGTCCGCTCCAGCGTGTGGCCCTATTCGGGGCAACCGAGAGGCGAAGCCGAAAAGCCGCACATGCCCAAAAATACACGCTTCCCTAAAGAAAATCAAGGATTTTGGCCTCTTGGGGCCATCTTGGGACGCCCCTTGGGCGCCTCTTTGGGGGCCTCTTGGGGGCCTCTTGGGCGGTCTTGGGCTCTCTTGGAGCGCTCTTGGGCCGCCTTGGGGGGGAACCCGAAAAACATGCAACAACCCGCGGGAAAACCCGAAAACGGCCATTCTCCGGCGTGCAAGGGGCAGGAATATAGGGGGCCACATGCGAACCCTACCCCTACCCCCCACGATTTCTGAGGGGGAGGGTGGGGTGGACGAAGTGAACCCCATCCTCCCCCTCAGAAATCGTGGGGGGTAGGGGTAGGGTTCGCATGTGGCCCCCTAAGGAAACAATACGAGGGCGGCCGCGCTGAGGGAGGGTGGGCAAACAAAAGCACACCCGATCGGAGATCTGGGCCATCCGCCGGCGAGGTGCCCGCCGCGGCGCCGCGCGCGCCAGCGGCAGAGGCGGCAGCCGCCCTCCCCCGGCGGCAGCCCCCGGCGTGGGCGGAGGCTCTAAGCCTCCTGCATGGGGTCCGAGCAGATTCGGGTCGGGCGAAAGGGGGGGAGTGGGAAAGGGGGGGGGGGTACGAAATTTGCTGCATGCAGCTGGTTTCGGCCTCACCCAGGGGCCCATACCTCGATGCACAGCCGCCTCCAGGCGCCAGGAGGCGCCGGGAAAATCAGCTACGTGAGCTGATTCTCACCCCCCCCTTTGCTATCCCCCCCTTTCGCCCGACCCTATAGATGGGGTCGGAGGGTCGCGCCGCATCTCCGATGCATCGACGATGCGGCTCGATGTGGAGACCGCGTTTCCTCACGCCGACGTCGCCGATGCATCGCCGAGGCATCGCCAATGCACATCGGCGATGCATTGGCGATGCGGCGCGCTCCTTCGACCCCATCCGCCCGGACCCCATCTATGTGGGAGGCCTCTCGAGGCGCCCGCGGCGCAGGGCGCGGTCCACGGCAGCCCAGCGGAGGCGGGCGGGCGGAGTTCCGAGGCCGCGGGCGCCGGGCCGGCGAGCGCCGCGGCCACGGCCACGGCCAAGGCCGCGCACGGGGAGCGCACGCCTCCCGCGGTCGGGGCCCACCGTCGGGGGCGACGCCGACGACGCCGCCGCCGCCGCCGCCGCCGCCGCCGCCGCCGCCGACGACGACGACGACGACGACGACGACGACGACGACGACGACGACGACGAGGTATAAGACCGAGGTCGGTTCGGGGAGGGTACCCTAGCGTTTTTCGTGTCTGTTGGGTGTTCGTCTGCATCCTTGAGGGAGTACGCTTGGATGTTCTGTCTGTTTTGGCCGACGGAGGGTCTCATGTTCTCGAGGGATGTCTTTCACGATTGTATAATCTGAAGATCAGGCAGAGGTTTCTTGCCCTTCTCGGCCTCCAAGGGCCCTTGCCGGGGCCCCAGGTCCGTCCAAACACGGCTCGGGATGCAAAGCCGTTCCCGGGGAATGGGCCTCCCACGGCCAGGGGGGCCGGGATCGGGCGGCCCAGCCGAGAAAGGAGGAGGGAGGGGAGGCCTCGGTTTCGCCACCGGGGAGGCCCTCGTCGCCACCTCCAGATTCGCCTCGGATTCTGTTCAGAACGCACCCCGCGAGAGATCCAGAGGAAGGACATCGGCCTTCGCCCCCCTGGGAAACCCGATTTGTTTTTGATGCCACCCGCGTTTTTTCGTCGAGTTCGGCCCGCCGTCTTCGGCCCCCAGAGGTCCCGACCACCCATGAAGAAGGGGTCGGGACCTCTGGGGCCGCGCACGGGGCAAATCACACTGTCGAATGTCTGTCGAGTGAGGGGGCGCGACACCACAACCACCAGGGGGGCCGCCTCCAGCAAGGAGGTACAGTGGAGACCCATGCCAAGAAACACCCTGCGTGCCTCCAGGGTGCCCCAGGTTTCTTGGGTTTCGATGGTGTTGCTGTTGACAGCGCGACGTTCCCGCTGCAAAAAGGAATGGACGTCCTGGGGTCTCAGGGTTGGGTTTCGTGTGGAAGGCTTCTTGTGGACTGGCCTCCACTGTACACGATGCCTCCCCGCATTGGAGGCTGAAGGTGGAGACTGGAGGCTGGACGCTGGAGGCTGGATGTACACGATGCCCCCCCCTTCCCGAGCTGGAGGCCGGAGGTGTCTCGAGCGGGACAAGGGGGCCACACCATTGGTGTAAGCAGTCCGTCTGGTCGCTCCCCGGCCCCCCACCCCCCTGTGATCCTCGGGTGTGGCCAGCCAGCCGCGGCATCTGGGGCGCCTTTTCTCCATCGCCCCCCCTTCTGTAAAGGGTGGAGGCGTCGATCTGCCCCTGGAAGAGCATGTATGTCACCAGATCGGGCTGGGCCCATCATCCCATCCTGCCTGCCCCGCCCTCTCCCTCCCACGTCCCTCCAGCGCCTCCCGCCCCTCGCTCTCCTCTCTCTCTCTCTCTCGTTGCGCATCCCACGATTGCGTCATTCTGGCGGGCCCAGGGCCGCTAATTAGGACAATCGTCGGCGGAACAAAGAAACAATCAGCACAACGGGAGGAGTGGGTGGGAGGGGTCCTGATGGCAGATGTGACGCGCGGCCGCAACTAGCTTGCCTCCCTGATCTCTCCTTCCACCCCCCTCTCCCCTGACACGAGTCAGTAGGGAAAAAAAACAGGCACAATTAATCGTCGATTCCCCAGAAAATATGGGAAACTATGGGCAGTGGGGGGGAAGACAAAAACCAGAAAATATAGGAAAACATTGGGAATCCTGTTATTTGTGTCTGTTTATTTGTGTGTCCCAGATCCCCTTCAACGAGCTCCTTCGCACAGAGGTCCGTTTGCCCAGGTGCTCCCCCTTTTGGGTCGGTGGCCGTGCGCAGAGCTGGCGCGAGCTGCCGTGGGGGGCGCCGGCCCTGGAGGAGGAGCGCGAGGGCCAGAAGGGGGACGAGACGGAGGGGGACACAAGGAGGAGGAGGAGGAGGAGGAGGGAGAACCAGAAGGAGGAGGAGGGGGACACAAGGGGAAGGAGGGGGGGGACACAAGGGAGACACAAGGGGGAAAGGAGGAGGACAGGGGGGAGAACCAGAAGGAGGAGGTCGGTCGGTCGGTCGGTCGAAGACATCGAGTGACTCAGTCTGCTGGGCTCCGCCGGGGGGCTCGTGCAGCAGTGGCGGCCCCGGGCCCAGGAGCACGGGCTGCTCGACAGCGCGCTGACCGCAAACGTCGAACGACCCCCCCCAAACCCGAACCGGATCAACCATCTCCTCCCGCACGTCGCTTCATCCTAACGACGAAAACGAAGAGGACGACGAGGACGAGGACGAGGACGAGGAGGACCGGGGTTGGATCCACAGCAGTGGCGGGTGGAGGCAGGGCTGGGTGGAGGCGGAGGGGGACCTGAGATTCGATGTCGTGAAAAGATACATCAGCAGAATCACGACCATAGCCCTAGACCTCATCTGTCTGCGGCACTTCTCGAGCCGGATCGGTCTGTGAGTGCCTTGGGGCCCGAGATTGGGCGAACTTTTTACGCCGCAGCGCGGCCAAGCGAACCCGCATGCGCGCTCTGGTGAGCCAGGCAATGGCAGACACTAGTCTAGCTGTCCGCTGGCAAGGGGGAGGAACCTGGGCGGAGCGCGGCCGCGGAGGGCGGAGGAGGGAGGGCACTCACGGCACGCAGAGCTTCGAGTGGAGTGGCTGGGCGGCCATCCTGCACTGACGCGGCATGGCAGTGGACGCGGGTCGGCGTCGCGGCCTCACCCAGGGGCTGGGGCGCAGGCGGCAGTACGCGAACGAGGACCAAGTTCTGCACGAACGAAATGGGTACGGAAAGAATGGGCACAATGCCCAACAGCAGTTCCTGTTCATTTTGAACAGGACTTGTTGTCCACGCCGCCGCGGCCTGTGTCCATTCGAGACAGAATGCTGCAGGGGAGGGCTGACGGATGCAGGAAGGCCCAAGTCCACCAGGGGTAGGGCCGCGATAGCTCGCGGCAGCAAGATGCTGCCAGAGCCCTGCTGAGCTGCTGAGAATCGGGCTGTGGAACTGCGGCGCTGTCGGGGCGAGCGCAACGTATGCCAGAGACTGTATAACGTCGCCGCCTGCCAAAGCGGCGCAGCCCCGAGCCCCGGCTGTCGGGGCCAGGGTGGCGACCGGCGAGGCTGTCGGGGGGCAGGGCGGCCGAGTCTGCAGGAGTGGCAGCCGGGGCCACGCGAGAGGGCTGCTGGCGGCCACTGGCGGAAAGACCGGGCGAGCACGCCGGGCGGGAAAGAATCGCGGCGCACGGGCTTCGGGGTAGTGGCGTTCGCCCCAGAGTTCTACAGGAAGGACCCCCCCGTCCTCTCTCAGCTGCGGGGGGGAGCAGCGCTCCCGGCGGCGAGAGATCTATCATTCCTCCTCCTCGGCTGGGTCGGCTACGCAGCTGCGGCGTTTCATCTTTTGCTGCCTGCTATGATCCTCGTGATGTCGAGAGACGCGGATCCGGCGATCCGTTCAAACATGTGTTTTGGCTCCGTTGGCTTTGTTTTGCGGTCGGAAACTTTTGGTTAGTTTGTCGCTCCGCCGGTTCTGGTCCATTTCTCTTCGGCGCGACACGATATCAATTTTCTGGTTCCCATGCGTCAACGTTCCGAGCCTGACGTTCCCGCCGCGACTTGCTTTGCAAAAGTTCCTGACCGTAGCTTTCTTGGACTCACAGTAGGACGACGGTGGCGAGTGCGAAGGCGACGATCGGCGGCAGGCTTCCTCCTCGGGAGCCATGGTCGGCGCCCTGATCGCGTGCTCCGGCGGGGCGCTCACCGCCACGGGCGCGAACGTCCTGTCGTGGTCCTCCCACAGGCCGGGCCGGGAGGGGAAAGGCGATGTTTTTTTGACGCCCATGCGCGAGCCAGCGAAGGCATTCGCCCCGCCCGCCCTTCACTCATGAGATCCCAGACCCCCTCACGCCAAGGTTTTTTCTTCAATTTACCGTCCCCAGGGGACCTGACTGGGCACCAGGATCGTCAACGAACGACCCAGGATGAAAAACACGCTTCCAGGCAATCGAACGAGTCCTCCTGGTGTCCACGTCATGAAAAATAATAATGTCGGGGGTTTGAAATGCGGGCGTTGTATCTTTCCCAACCCTCCTCTGTTGGGTTCTCGTTTTGAAAAGGGCACTGTGGTATCCACGAATCCACCTCTCTTCCCGCCTTCCCCCGCATCCTGCCTCCTCCTGCGCTGCTCCCTGGGAGGTCGCGAACTGCGCAATTGTCGCCACTTACGTGGGCTCCTGGGAGGTCCACCGGAGAGGAAGAGTACGTGCATCCAGACGAGACCTCGCGGCTCCCTGGGTGGCTGCGAACTACGCAATTGTCGCCATTGTCGTGGGCTCGTGGGAGGTCCATCGGAGTGGAGGTGTACACGCATTCAGACGAGACCTCGCGGATCGTTTGGTGGCTGCGAACTGTATAATTGGTGCCATTGTCGCCACGCTCGGGGGTTCCATCGGAGTGGAGGTGTGAGCGCATCCAGACGAGACCTTGCAGATCCCTGGGAAGTTACAAACTGCGCAATCGTAGCTCCTCGAATATCCAGCTGAGTGGAGGTGTACGCGCATACAGACGAGATCTCGCGGCTCCCCGCTGGATGTCTGCGCACTGCGTAATTCAGATAGTCGCCAGAGCTCCTGGGAGGTCCAGCGGAATGGAGTTGTACGCGCATCCAGACGAGACCTCGCGGCTACCTGGGTGGCTGCGACTTGCGCAATTGTCGCCATTGTCGTGGGTCCTGGGAGGTCCAGCGATGTGGAGGTGTGAGCGTATCTAGACGAGTCCTCGCGGCTTCCTGAGTGACTGCGAACTGCGCATTTGTCGCCACTTTCATTGGCTCCTGGGAGGTCCAGCGGAGTGGAGGTCAGCGCAGATAATTTCGAGACCTCGCGGCTCCCTGGGTGGCTGCGAACTGCGCAACTGTGGCCACATGTGTGGGCTCTTGGGAGGCACGGCGGAGGTGAGGACAGCTCTGATCACTTTGAGACCTCGCGGCTCCCTTGGGGGCTGCGAACTGCGCAATTGTCGCGAGTTTCGCGGGCCCCTGGGAGACACGACGGAGGTGAGGGCAGCACAGATCATTTGAGACCTCGCGGCTCCCTTGGGGGCTGCGATATGAGTAACGGTCGTAGCCGCTGTCGTGAGCTGCTGGGACGTACGGCGGGGTGCAGGGCGCCCACTTGGCGCGTGCCCACATGGCGCGTGGCGCTGTCGCGTCATTTAGCGCGCGACGCTGCTGCACCATAGAGTTGCTCGGGCCACTTTTCACAAAAATACGTCTGCGCCCGGTCTCGGGCCCCGGGACCATCGCAGGTCGATCAAGCTTGCAAGATGCCGCGGGAAGATGGGGTCTATAGGGTTCTGGTTGCGGTTGTTGTGGGGCCTCTTGTTCTCGCAACGTCGGATCCATCGAGGTCCGTTCGGGGAGGGTATCAGTATCCCGATGTTCTTCGTGCTTGCTGGATGCTCTTGTGCATCCTGGGGAGGGTGTCCTGGGATGTCTGTGTGTTCTGGCTGGCGGAGGGTCTCATGTCCATGGAGGATGTTCTTCTCTCCTCCTCCGCCCTCTTCCTCTTCCTCTTCCTCCTCCTTCCTCTTCCTCCTCCGCCCTCTCCTCCTTCCTCTTCCTCCTCCGCCCTCTCCCCTTCCTCCTCCGCCCTCTTCCTCTTCCTCATCCTTTCTTGGTCCGACTCGCGTCCTCTCCCTCCTCCGCCCTCTCCTCGCCGCGCGGCCTCCGCGGCTCGACCGGGCCGAGGCCGCCTTCCCCGCACCTCCCTCGCCTCCTGCTCCTCCTCGCTCCTCCTCGCCTCCTCGCTCCTCCTCGCCTCCTCGCTCCTCCTCGCCTCCTGCTCCTCCTCGCTCCTCCTCCCGCCTTCCCCACACCTCCCTCGCCTCCCTCGCCTCCTGCCCCTCCCTCGCCCGCTTCGCCCTCGCGTCGCTGGGGCCGGCAGGCCTCCTCGCCCCTGCCAGGGAGCAAGAGGCCCTCATGGGATAGTCGGGCGCCCCCCCCCACCCATGGCCCGATTCCCCCCCTCCCCCCAGACCGCCCCTCTATGGGCACAGTCAACGCGCCAAGTAAGGACGCGCGCCGTCACCTAGGGTGCCCGTGTGCCCTTGCCTCTGCGGTCCGTCCTTGGCCGTTTTTTCGCTTGGTCGCCCGCCGCCCCCCAAAATTCCAACCTCGGCCTCCACGGGTCTTGCGCCCTCGCCGCCCGTCCTTACTGCGCGCGCGTCTTGACGCCAGCGCACCTCTTCGCCCTCGTCCTCCTGGTGAGCCCCCACGGTGGGAAGGCTGCAGGCTGGTCGACCCAGTGCGGAGCCCCTCGCCCGAGGCGCTGCGCCCCGGGCCGGGAGCGCCCTGGAGCCCCCGGGGGAGGCCTCGGGCTGTGGAGGGGGTCTGGGGCTGGGGCGCACGGCCCCCCAGGGCGGAGGGAGCAGAGCGGGAGGAGCACAAGGGGGAGGAGGGGGGGGGGATGAGGGGGGGGGGGACCGGGGGAGGTGGAGGAGGGGGGTAGACGGGGCAAGGTGGAGGAGGGGGGCCGGGGGGAGGGGGGGGAGGGGGGGGGGAGTGAGGAGGGGGGGGGGGACGGGGGAAGGTTGAGGAGGGTGGGGGGTGGGGGGATGTGCGAGCAAGGAGGAGGCGCGAGACTCGATGGGGGAGGGCGGAGGGGCAGGCAGGGGGGAAGCGGAGGAGGGCTGACTCTCGGAGCCGGAGCTCAGGGGGTCCTGAGCCAGACCTCAGGGGGTCCTGAGCCGGCGCAGTGCCGAAAACTCCCTGCGAGGGGGAAATCGACTATCGCCGGAGTGACCTTTTGTGCGGGCCCATTGGGATCCCCCGATCGCTGTACGCGATGCGAAAGTCGCGTCGTTGCGCGCTTGTGTTTGGTCCCCCCGTGACCCCGAAGAAGCCGCGCATCGAAGGTCACTCTTACCCGGGGTCCTTGCGTGTAGCCGAGAAAACGCGCCTCTGCTGGCCTCACCGATGGGGAACCAAAACTCTGTTGGTCTTCGCGGCGCAGCCCCTGACCCACACCGAGTGAGGGAACAAGCCTCTGCTGGCCGCACCTGGCCGCCTTCGCGCAGCCAGTCTACGGCGCAGCGCAGAGAGGAGGCGGAGGATGAGGAGGAGGAGGAGGAGGAGGACGAGGAGGAGGAGGAGGAGGAGGAGCATGATGATGATGATGATGATGATGATGATGATGATGATGATGATGATGATGGTGATGATGATGACGACGACGATGATGATGATGATGATGATGATGATGATGATGATGATGATGATGATGATGATGATGATGATGATGATGATGATGATGATGATGATGATGAGGGGAAGGAGGAGGAGGAGGAGGAGGAGGAGGGGGATAACGAGGAGGAGAGACGACGGAGAGGGACACGTGATCCCAGCCCCCCTTCGCGATGCTGATTCACGGTCTGGTTCGGTCAGCCGTCAGCGTAGCGCGGCCAAATGCAGTGAGGCGAGTACGCCGCGGGCTGGCCCTCATCATCATCATCATCATCATCATCATCATCATCATCATCATCATCATCATCATCATCATCATCATCATCATCATCATCATCATCATCCGTAGCCATTTTGGCTCAAGCCTTTTCAGCCCCTGCTCCTGACAGGCTGCTGGCTTGCCACATCCCGCAGCCCGTCCCTGCCGCGCGCGTGGTCAGACCTTACTGGTCCGTGCTCTTTCTTTCGGGATGTCGAAGAAGCGCGTGGACCTTGAAGACGGCATCGCGTACACGTGGGACGAGTTCAGTAAGATCTACGTCGGGAAGTACAAGAAGAAGGAGGTCGAAGCCTGTCGGGAGTCGTGCAAGCCCGCGCAAAGGGCGAAGTCGAAGGCAAAGTCCAAGGCCAAGACCGAGGCCGAGGCCGAACCGGAGGCCAAGGCCAAGGCGAAGACAACGGCGAAGCCAAAGCTTAGGCCAAGGCCGAGCCGAAAGCCAAGGCCGAGGCTAAGTGAACAAAGGTGAAGCCCCCCAGGGTCCGCAAGCCAGTCAAGCTTGAGCCGATTTGCCTCTTCGTCCAGCTGGAGATCGAGCCAGAGCGGGTGGATGACTTCATCAGCGTGATGACCAAGGATCTCGAGGGGTCGCGGACCGGGCCTGGTTGCCTGCGGTTCGACTTGCTCCGCGACCAGGTGGACAAGAACAAGTTCACCCTATTCGAGGTGTACAAAGATGCCGATGTACTTGCCGCGCACAGTGAGATGCCTCACTTTAAGTTGCGGGAGGAGTTCAAGCAGGATGGGAACCCTGTCAAGTCACAGCTGGTACAAAAGTGCGACGGTTTTGACTATCTCGCGGGAAGCACAGGTGTGAAAGGCCCTAAGTGAAGACAGCGAGGAACCAGGACGGTACACATCATATGGTTCCCGTTGCATGCGCCGCTCATTGGTTGTACAGATGTGCAGAAGATGTTCGAACCATCGTAGCATGTATTGTCAATTGTCCGTGGGCGCCAGGAGTTCCAACTCGCTGGTGATATGAATTGGTGGGTGGCGATTTGTAGTAGTGCAAACATGTTTCGCGCATCGATCATAAAACAAATCATCAGCATCATCATCATCACCATCATCATCACCATCATCACCATCATCATCATCATCATCATCAACACCATCATCATCATTATCATCATTATCATGTAGCCATTTTTTGCTCCAGGCTCCCCGCGCGCGCGCGAAGGTGATGGCTGCGGGTTCGGGCGCAGTGCTGCGAGGCGCTGGCGGGGTCCGGGCGGCGGCAGACCGGCTTGTGGCGCGCTTGCAGTCGCAACTGGACGTC